CTTGTTACGTGCAAAAAAGGAACACCTACTTCTTTAACCCACAGTTTTCTGTTATTTGTAATTGAAAGCATTTAGCATAAATATAAATTTCATTCACATTTATCATTAATCTCAATCATAAATTAGAACTCAAGAGGTTTAAAGCTATTTTTTGCCTTAATCTAGACCTTCACTGCAAGGACCATTGAGTTTAAGGCACCTAAGCTACTACTGAGTGACATTAGGCCTTTGGGATGCAATTAAAAGCTAGTAAGTTCCCAGCTACATACTCCTCAGCCCCATATAGAAGTACAAAGATGGTCGGAGGGGCAAGAAGTCTTTTCCCCAGAATCAGAGCTCAAAGATAACATCCCCTCAAACCGTATGACTTCTGAAATTGTCCTGAATATGGATACCTGCCTGCTCTCTAATCCTGCCCTGATTCTTCAGAAACCCAAGGGCAATAGACTGAAGCTAATGCCACATCTACCCAGCTTGATTTCTTTAAAATTGCAGAATTTCTAATATTGACCTTAGCCTGTGATCTAGTGTAATGCTATGTTAACTGCTTTACCTATGATGCAAATTTAAGGTCATATCTGACAGGTTAATTAGTTTTATATACAAAGACATAAAATTTAAAAGGTAGCAGAAAACAATGGTTAAATAAGTTTTGTACAGTCATAATGAATTTTATAAATCCATTAAAAATTGTGTTACATGGATAATTAGAGGTTTTCTGGAGTGTAGGAAATATTCTCTTTGTTGATGTGAATATACATGGTATTCGGTACAAAATATTTGAGCTATATATTTATATTGTCTGCCCTTGTCTGTAACAGTATTATATTTCACAATAAAAAGGTTTAAGGTAGTATAGGAAATTAATACATGTAAAAAATTAAAGATTCATTGTATTAAAAAAGCAATGTATACAACCTGTGTATAATATTAAGATTTTTCACCAAACAATATGTGACCACAAAATGATAATTATTAAATGGAGAGTACTTAGGAATTATTGATGAACACATAAGTGTTTCTTAAAGATGAAATAATTGTAAATTACATGTAAAACAATCTTTCGTTTTATATCTTATATGAACTCTTGAGAATACAGACAATTTAGATGCTGTACAGGCTATGTGTCCCTGCCTGATATTTCTAGAGAAACAAACCCAGTAGTTTTATTTGTACACACACAAAAGGCCAAATCCATTGTTATCAATTCCAACTCATAGCAAGCCTATCTAGGTTTTCTGCGGCTGTCAATCTTCGCAGAAGCAGATTGCCTCATTTATCAAGGAAGTAGCTCACATTGTGCAAAAGTGGACAAGTTCCAAGTCCATGGGTCAGGTGTTACGATACAGTATTGTCATTTTAGAATTTTTTGTCAAATTTTTGCATAAAAATGATCTGTGACGCTAGTTAACAATGACAACATAAGTTTCAAAGTGGTAGAAAAATATCATGAAATTTGTTCTCTGCCGTGGGCCCTTGTTCCTATACTAGATCACACTACAACATCATACCCCTATGAACTGTTCATACAAAGCATATCCCACCCTGTAAAATGATCCTTTAGATCCTCTTCGTGATAATTTTACTATAACAGGACTAATATTACAAATTCAAAAAATATTGCACATAAATTATTTTGAGAAGAAATCATTTCATAAGAGTAACATTCTCCTATATAATCTTGGTCCTTATAGGTCACAAAGATCAAGTTATAGATTAGAAAGTCAAGATTAAGTTAGTGGTTTGAATCTGTTATTGATTTAACAAATGGTTTGGGGGACATGAACCAGGAAAACTGTTTCAGAAGGAACACCTCTTGTATACATCTAGAAAAACAAAAACAAAACCAAGAACTCCCTGCATTTGAGTCAATTCTGAGTCCTAGGGCAGAGTCGAACTGTTAGGTCAGGGTTTCCAACACAGGGAATCTTCACGGGAGCAAATAGCTTCATCTCTCTTATGTGAAATAGTTGGTGAGTTTGAACTGCAGCCCAACTGTAAGAATAAGCGAGAGAGAGAGAGAGAGAGAGAGAGAGAGAGAGAGAGAGAGAGAGAGAGAGAGAGAGAGAGAGTCTGTGTATGTGTGTGTATAAAAGGAGGCCTGGTGGCACAGTGCTTAATGCTTGGCAGTTTATCAGAAAAGTTGATGGTTCAATGTTGGAGACTCTCCACAGAAGAGAGATGTGATCAGTGGCGTCCAGAAAGAGTGCAGCTTTGGAACTGGGCAGTTCTCATCTGTCCTATAGGCTTGATATGAGTCAGGAATTGACTTGATGGCAATAGAGTTATTTCTGTATAATGATTCTAATTATACTCAGAATGCACAATCAGGTGGCAACATCAAGTGTTCCTTGGTTAATCTAAAAGCAGGTTTAAACAATATGACAATGCTCTGACATCAGCAAAAAATTATTACTTATAAATTGGGATTCTGACAAGAGCAAATGTCAATCAAATAAATAAGCTGTATTTAGATAGCCCAAGAAATAGTTCAGTGGGGAGTTTTTCAAAAAGAAATTATTATTTCAATGCCAAGTCACGCTCACAGCTTTGAACAAGTAGCAAAACATGGGCATGTTTCTCAAATGGATTTCACAGCATCAGTGCAAAAGCCGGAGGGGATGGCTTAGTTTTTTAAGCCTCAGATTTGAAATACCTAGACTCCCTGCAACTACAGCGTTAAATCCTCTGTGGAACCACAGCTTCAAATGCTATCAGGAGAGACTCAACTCTTCATCCTTCTGAGACTGATAAATTGAAAGCCATGAAGTTTAGAGGAAATGGAGGGGAGCCTGCAGGGGGGCACAGGCTAACAGGGGGGCTCCATTTGTAACACCATTTAAGGTTACATTCGAGGCTGCCTCCTTGGTAAGATGTGAAGGTGCAATTTTAAAGAGGTTCAGAATCTCACAACCCTGCCATCAACCATCTTTATAAACATTTGAAACCAGACAACTCAATTTAGAATGAAAACAGGAATTCCCATTGTAGCAAACTAAAGGGAATTCTAGGTACTTACTTTAAATTTATTACAGATATATAGCCAACTTTTTCTCTTTTTTTAAATCCCATGGCAATATTTGAATCTTGAATTGGTTTGCTTTGTTTTTTGTATGTTTCTGGACTGTCTCTCCTTGATGTCAATGGAAATAGCATTTTATTTAACTTTTATGATATTCTACCCATCTCAAAAATACACTTACATTTTGTGTTGTCAAAATTTGTTAGATAAGCAAGGTCACTATTATTATGTCTACTTTGGAGAACACAGTGCTCAGGAAGGTACTATGAATTAACCAGGACTGATCCACTGTGACCCTGTATTTTTAAATCCAGGTCTGCATAATAGTCAAACCAAACTCGCTGCCATCAAGGGGACTCCAGGATAGAACTGCCCTTGTGTGCGTCTGAGAGTATAACTCTTCCGGAGAATCTTCTCAGGTGAGTTACTGGTGGTTTCAAACTGCTGACCTAGTGATTAGCTACCCAATGGGTACCCAACTACACCACCAGGTTGCTTGGTCTTCTAGGGAGATGGGCTAAATCTTATTCAGGAACATACACTTTTTATCAAAGAAAAAATATGCAGTGCTTTCTAAATTAAAATTAAACTGCTTTTACAACTAGTTCTTTACCCACACCACCACACATCTCCGCTATGTATAATCATTTTAAAGAATCGAGGGTGATGCTGGGGAAAACTGCAGGTAATTTTTTTTAACGTATACTTCAGTTGTTTAACATCTATCCCGTTTTATTTAAATTCACCTTATACAAAAAAAAGGAACCCATTTATATTTCCAGCTAATCGAAAACCTGAAAAATAACATAAGGAGACTGTTTCACCACACTTTCAAACATCACCTGTCACTTGCTTATTCTGAATATTCAACACAAAGGACTCGCTTCTCTGCCAAACTCCCATTTGAGGAATTCATAATGCTTCTCTTTAATGATGCTCACTTGTTCATTGCACTCCCCAGCATCGGGGTACTTCTTCAGGACTATTTGATGCTTCTGAAATTGTTATTTCACTTCATACCCCTACAAATCTTAGAAGTTGTGTTACCCTCACAACTCCTAGTTCCCATTTTAAGTGTGTCTCTCTTTGAGAGATGCCCTTGACAATGACTCCATTTCACGGTTTTCTGTGGCCACACAGGCAGGTATCCCGGAGCCCAGGAGGAATAACTGGCTCTTGCTCTCCCAGGGGCCCAGCAACCGAACTATGGAAACGAGCAGCTCCCACCAAGCATGGAAAGCCTCCTTCCCTCCGCTCCCTCAGACCTTTATTGAGACGCACTGGCGCTGGGCGCCTGGCAGCGTGCGCTGCGCCCTGGGGTGCAGACGTGCACCCCGGACTGTGCAGGGTGAGTTCCCGCGTCCCGGGCGGGTTCCGCTTCGGTTCCAGCTCTCGGGTTTCAGGGAAAGGACGTCCTCGAAAAGGCTGGAGGTGGAAAAATCGGAAATGAATCTCGTTGTGAGCAAGCACGCTTCAACTAGCCTCAACATCCGTTCCAGATCTCCGGGGCCAGAAACCCCGGGAGACACGTTTTGCGTGTGGCAAACTTTTCACCTTGAGCGTTTAATTAAATGGATAAAAAGGGAAAACCAAGCGAAGAGCGCACACAAGCTATTCTCTTACATTTCAGGGTCATTCTACACAAGATTGCCTAATTTCACCCTCATTTTTCTATGTGAAACTCGTGCTGCCTTTAATCACGAGAAAACAACGTTGAAAGGACCGGGACTTTAAAAAGAATTGTCTTAAAAGGAACGCGTAAGACTTAAAAGCAACCGGGGCGCCTCAGCAACAGCGGGAGAAAAATCTCGCGCGGCCTCTAGAAGGCCGGTCTCGCGAGAGTTGCGCAAACGCGGCCTGACACCCCCCAGGTGGGCGTGGCCCCAGGTGGGCGGGGCGCTGGGGAATCGGCGTTTGCTGAGCTGGGAGGGGAGGCGGGTCCTAGTGCTCTTGCGCCTCGCGCTTTCCGGGGTCTTAGTCCCTGCGGACTCACCCGTGCACGCTCCTGTCCCGCGGTGCAGCTATGGCGCGGAAGTCGAACCTGCCTCTGCTTCTTGTGTCCTATCTGCTCGGGCCGGCCCTTGTTCGCAGCTGCAGCCCTCTGCCCCTGGTCATCAACACCTGGCCTTTTAAGAATGCCACCGAAGCAGGTGGGGGCGGCGGCCGGTGGGGCGGTAGCGCTGCGGGGACTGGCTGTGCGGGAGGAGGACGTCGCCTGTGGGCCAGCGAGCAAGCCCCTGGGAGGACAGGCCGCTGCCTCACTCGCCATGCACTTCATCTCCTGCAATTGGCCTCTGCCTCCATCCTCCTACCAGTGCCGCCTTGTAGGCCCACGTCTTTTAAAATGACTCTAAAAAGTCTAAAACGCCCCTAGCTAATGCATTGACTACCCTGCTGCTACCATCCCTACCTTTCTGCTTACTCTTCCAGTGGACTGGACTCTCATTTGCCTGCCATCCAGTGTCTGCCTCTCTGACCTTGCTTCTCACTTCTGCCCAGTACCTGATACTCCAACTTTGTAAATGGCTAGTAATTTCCCGAAAGCATGTTTTTTCTTCCTATTTACATTTTTTGCTACATACTGACATTTTCCGCCATCCAGTATGCTCAACCGGCCTTCACCTCCCAAACTTCTTGTTCACCTTAAAGCATTCAGCAAAAAGGTGCCAAAGGAGTTTAACCTGCAGAGCCTCAAAGTACTCATGTCACTTTCTGTGACTTCAATTTAACTGCTCAAACCACAGAATCTGCTCTTTAAAGCTGTCAAAGTGAGTCTGATTGCAGCCAGGCCTGAGAACCAGCACTCTAAAGACACCACTGCTTCCAGGAAGTGCTCCCTATTTAACTGCCCTCAGGCCGGGCCTGGGTCAGATGCCTATTTTCTGTGCATTGATAGTGCCCTGTGCATGCATCTGTCTTGGCATTGCTACATTGCATTATGCCTGTTTCTTGGTTTTGAGACATAGAACTACAAGTAATTTCAGAACTTCCATCTTGTGAGGGTGTTCATTTATTTCCTTTTTGGGGGCAGAACCCAGTGGAGTTGGATCTTTGCGGTATAGGCAGTGCGCAGGAATCAGAGAAACGAGGAAATAGCTGTGAGAAGGAAAAATTCCAGTGAAAATGAGACAAAGAAAGGGCAGCAGCCGGGGCAGGGAACATTTCTATGTAAGTTGCATGACTGGAAGTGGGGTCTTCTCACATTATATTTTCATAGTTTCTGGGCTCAATAGTGAGGTATATTGACCAGTGGTGGCACCCATCCTTCCATGGCTACTGTGTTTTTTGCTTTTAAATTTTTAAATGTACATTGGAGAACACTTTTATTTTAAAATCTTTTTGTTAAAAAAATTGAACAAAAAAAAAATTGAACAATTTTCTATTTTACAAAAAACCTCTCCCATTGTCCCCTACCTCTACCCCCTTTCCCTATGTAAGGGGCTCTTCAGATGCATTAGAGTAGAATGTGTCCTCTGGTGTCCAAAATGGCTACTTCTGAATTGTGGTTTTGCCTCATATTTGCTCTGTGACTTTGGACAATTCTTGGACAACTCACTTGCATCTCTGCACCCTCTCTTTAAATGAGGTCAGAATTTACCTTAAGAGCTTTTGGGGAGATTAAGCAAGTTAATTCATATAAAGCCTGCTTTGTAAATATATACTGTTACAGTATTGAGGCTTGGTATGATAGATATCCCCTCAATAAAGGTATTAGTCAGATCTTTTTAAATAAATAATGAATCAGAAGAATCTAAGGCTATCCCAAAAAACACCATGCCATCCAGCCACTTCCAGCCATAGGCAATCCATTGGTTGTAAGCCCTCAGCTGCTCACCAAAAGGTCAGTGGTATGCTCCTACTAACTTCTCTCTGCTAGAGGAAGCCGTGTCCTGCCCTGGAACCGCTGTGGGGCAGTTCTACTCTGCCCGGCAGGATCACTCGAAGTCAGAATTGACTCAGTGGAAGTTGGTTTAGGTTTGGTTTGGTTAGTAGCACCGATAGCTCCTCTTTGAATATCTCATAGTAAGTAGTTGCATTCATTTAATTTTGTCTAGCATTCTGACTCCATTGTAGCATTTGATAAAACAATTCAAAAATAATATATTAGAGCAAATGTAATAACATCAAGAGAACAAGTTACCAGTGCGTATCTGGTGTGTTTTACACACACACACCAACTGTTGTGATTTGATTACCAGCCTGGAGGACATTAGCATCTGGAGGGTCTCCCCTGGACGCGGTTGAGAGTGGCTGTGCTCTGTGTGAGAAGGAGCAGTGTGATGGCACTGTAGGCTTCGGAGGAAGTCCTGATGAATTTGGAGAAACCACACTGGATGCCATGATCATGGATGGGTAAGAATGCTCTGCAAGACCTCTTGATCTCTGCACCTTTGCTTCATGCGGAGTTATAGTTATTGAGGTTGGATGCCACCTACCATCCCAAAGTGTAGAGTGCATGAGTTTTCTCACAGGGCAAAGCCTGTAGCCTACTGTACTTAGCCTGATACAAGAACGTTTCCTCTCTCCATGAATAACAATAGACTAAAAATCACATGCAAGTAGTCTCCTTAGAAGAGAACCCCATGCTATAAATATCAACCACTAACCTTAAATGTTGTCATTTGTTTTGTCTGAAGCCTTAAAGTCCCTTTCAATAGACTAGTAAGAACTGAGAATTTTAGTGTTATTGGGGTAGATGGTAAATTAATTTTCTGTTTATTTGGGGTTTTTTTTTCTGGCTATGGGAATTTGTTTGGACTTCATAGGTGCCTGTCTCTTCTTCAACAACATTTACAAATTTCTTAGCGCCAAGCAGTACATTAAAAACAACAACAACAACAAATTATGTTAACTATTGTCTTTGTTTTTCTTGTAGAACGACTATGGATGTAGGAGCAGTAGGAGCTCTTAGAAGAATTAAAAGTGCTATTGGTGTGGCTCGAAAAGTACTGGAATATACAACACACACACTTTTAGTAGGAGAATCAGGTATATTCTAACTAAGTTTCTCCATAGCATTTTTCCAATTATGTTTACTCTGAAAAATAGGAATCTGTGTAAAATAGTAGTTTTAAAAAAGATGTCTAACTTTAATTTCCAGCTCTTTTACTTAATAGCAATTTGGGTAACTGACTTACTTCCTTACTTAACTTGTAATTGTCATGTTCTTAGACATTGAAATGGAATGTTTTTAAGTAATTCTTTCTCCAGAGATGAGTAATTGGTAGGCCCAAACAAAATTCAACATTAATGTCTTCTTATATTACACCTCACACCCAAGGAACATTGTTAGCATAAGAAGGTGAAATTTGATGTAATCTTGCAATGAAAGTGCCACTTCATTATTTGAGCTCTATCCAACGTACATACTAAAAATCATAGAGTAATTTATAACCAAAATCATTTTTAATGATTTGTTATCCAAGAACTCCAGCAGGCTTCCTTCACATTTGTTTCAAGTACAGAATTGGGGAAAATGCCAAAGGATCTGTTATCCATTCATTGGATTCCTATCGTTCTTCTGTTGGCAGCTCACCCTTTTTAGAAGTGTGAGATTTTGTGTCGGTGAGAGGTGTGCCTTCTCTGTAAAGAGGCAGGGAATTGTGGAAGGGAGGCAGAAAAGAAGAACTGTTATAATACACCCAAGGGCCTCCGCAGAGCAGGTTTAGGAAAGAAGACATATGGAAATGGGCTCTATTGTATCTTTTATTGTCCAAAAATTCCATTGAGAGGCTTCATGTATCCCCATACGTAACTGTGTCCCAATTAATGACCGCCGGAGCCCTAGTAGCATAGTGGTTAAAGTGGAAACTTTAACCTACCAGCCTCTGTGTGAGAAAGATGAGTCTGTGCTACTGTAAAGATTTATAAACTGGGAACATCCAACAGAGCAGTTCTACTCTGTTCTATAGTATCTGTGAATCACAATCAACTTGACAACATTGGGTTGGGTTGGGTTGGGTTGGGTTTAAGTGCTAGTTGACATAGAGGGCCACCTGTAAATACACTTTCTTTAAAAGGAAAAGACTTGCATGATTTATGTTTTTCATCTCAATCTCCAGCTACTAAGTTCGCTGAAAGCATGGGATTTATCACTGAAGACTTATCCACCGATGCTTCTCGAGCTCTTCACTCAGATTGGCTTGCTCGGAACTGCCAGCCAAATTATTGGCGGGTATGTGTGGAGATTTAGTTTTTTGAAGTGAATCTTTTGACTATATTAATGTCACCTCTGCTCACCATTGCCCACCTGCTGTCTAGCTGCTAGTTAGCATCCTGGCTGCACATGAGAACCAGTGGTTAAAACTGGATCTCTCTAAGGATAATGGTCTTAAAAGCTCCCTGGTTAAATTGAATACATATCCAAGAACTACTGGTCTCTGGCATTTTAAAACTGAAGTTCTTTTGTTTGGAGAGGGAACTGCCCAGATCAGAGCTCTTCTGCTTACAGTCTTTATAGCCAAGGCTCCAAGTCTTGGGGTGGGGGGAGCAATCTTCAAATACCATTAACATAATAGTTCTTAGATATTGTCAATGTGAAGTGTCCCCAATATCTTGCCCTTACAGGTGTGTCTCGTACACTACAAGTAGAATATCTGGTCCTGGAACCAGTGGGACTTTTAGCATAAACCGGTTTGACTTTATTATCTGGATCTCTTCTCTAAAGTATCTTAGTCTCTCATCTGTTTCTGCCTTAACTCCTAAATACCTCTGAATCACCAGAGTCTCTGGGATTAGTATGAGTAGCTGGAGACTCATAATACTAGGTTAAGAGGGACACCCCGGGGTGCTAATCTTTAAGCTATTTGTCTTTGGTTTCTTGCCTTTAAACCAACCTATATATACATCCTACATTTACGGGCTTGGATTGTTTTATCTTCTAAAATGTACAAACAAATTTTAGAGTATAACATGGAATATGTCCATATAAACCTACAGGGGTGGGGCGGGGAAAAAATGGCTTACCGTATATACTCAAGTATAAGCCAACCTGAATATCCGCCGAAGCACCTAATATTACCACAAAAACTGCATAAAAAATGTGCTGAAAAACTTGGCTTATATACATATGAGTATATACGGTAAATACAGATTTTATTTTAAATCTAAGACCTCTACTCTAGGCAGTAAAATTTGAAGATTGGCTTGTATATGAGAATTAATAGCTAATTAAAAACTTTATTTACATTTTCCATTATATTGGGAATTTTAGACATTTAGAGAAAACATTGGGGATGTCATATCTAGCCCAAATTACATACTTTTAAGATCAATGCCAATATTTAATAAAATCATATCCATTTTTTCCCACATGAAAATTCAACTATTTATAAATGTATATCTCTCAGTTACCAGCTGTCTTTCAGGGTTCTTGCTAGTGTAACCACTTGTGGTTTTTTAAAAAAAGGACTTAAATCTCATTTACAGGATGTTATACCAGATGCTTCAAAATACTGTGGGCCCTACAAACCCAAGCCACATAGTATTTTAAAACAAGAGGATCCTACCTACAAAGAAAAAGATCATTGCGGTCATGATACGATTGGTAATTTCACTTTCATACAATTTTCATGGCTAAAATTTAGCCGTTTTTAATTGCCGTCATAAACCGAACCCCCTGCCATCGCATCAGTTCCAGCTCATAGCAACTCCTTACGCAGGACAGTGGCAATGCCCCAGGGGGGTTCCAAGGCGGTCCATCTGTATGGAAGCACAGTGCTACACCCTTCCCACGTAGCGCTCCATGACTTCTTCTTCTGTGCCAGAAGTGATTTTAATTATTTCAATTCCCAAATATGACTACTTATACAGACATAATTTCTTTAGCCCTTGTATACTGTTTGGGAAATTACTGCATACAAGACGTGAAATCCAATGATAAATATGTATTTTTTCTGTAGCGCTGATAATTTTATATTGTTTGCTATATTCAAGAAAAATAATTTTTCTTACATGTTACTTTTGAAAGGTGTTGAACATAACTTGGTAAGGATATAGGATGTCTGAGAAGTGATGTTGACACCATGTAAGCAGCTCATTAAGAAACACAAATTATATCATTGGTGTAACTTTTAGTACTCCTACGTTTTCTTTTCTTTCTTGAAAGAAAAGAATTTATTTCTTTTCTTCAAATTAATGAGAGAACATATTTGTGTTACCAGTTATAGATCATTTGGCTAGATTTGAGGTAGATTTTAAAGTGAACCATAACCAAACTCAGATTCGGACTCTTACAGTACCTACAATAACTTTGTTTTTGTTTCTGTGTAACTTCTAGGTATGGTTGTAATCCATAAGACAGGACATACTGCTGCTGGCACCTCTACAAATGGTATAAAATTCAAAATACCTGGGTCAGTTTCCAGTACAACAGATATCACAGATATGTATGAAAGTCAAAGAGTATGTGCTACGTACTATAGGAAGATGCACATGTAAAGCATTGCCTTATTCCGACATGTGAGACAAATGTAGAAGATAGTATATTATTGTCTTCTAACTATAACAGGGATTCCCTGGGTGGTGCAAATGGCTAATATGCTTAGCTGTTAAACTAAAAGTTGGAAGTTCAATGACAACCAGAAACACCTTGGAATAAAGGCATGGCAGCCTGCTCCCAAAGATTCATCTACTCAAAAGCCCTAAGGAGCACAGTCTTATACCAACACACGGGAAGTCACCATGAGTTTTAGCATCATCTTGATAGCAACTAGTGCTAAAAGAGAAGGAGTAATAGCCAGTGCTTTAGAATTCAGGAAAGCAAGTGTGATCTACTTAAGCAGAGGTAGTTCATTGAAACTAGTGCAGAGATGCCAGGAATCGAGCCCCGAGCTCACTACAGGTAAGGGAGCATCCAGAGAAAGGGACTGGCCCATACATAGGAGTACATCTTTGAGAGTTAGACTTCAGCAGATAGAAAAGAAACTTTGGGTGGGAAGGAATGGAGGATAAGTCTGCAGGGGGAGATTAGATCCAGGTTTCCAGGAGTCTTAAGACAGTTTAAAGAGTCCTGATCTTATTGTAGAAGTAGTAGAAAAGTGTTGAAGGGTTATTACAAGGGAAAATCTTGATAAACGTTTAGCGCATTAGATTGAAAGCAAGAATAGATTGTAGGTGAGGGAAACCAATTTTGAAACTGTTGAGATAATCTAGCAATTAGATGATAAAAGATGGTAATAATGGAAGAGTCATTGTAAAATCTGTCCCATCTTGGTATGCACCTGGCTGGTATCAAATTCTTACAGAATTAATGTGGGTTTGTGGAAACCCAAGTTAAAAGACTAATGAAAATCTTTTCAGGGTTCTTTTGGAGGAAATGCTTTAAAAATCATCATCTGGAAGGCAACAGTGATGGTTGCCCAGCATTGTGAAGGTGCAAAGTGATACAGAAATATACCCTTGAAAATGGTGAAAATGGTCAATTTTTATGTTATGTATATTCTTCCACACATACTCTCACGTACACCCACACCTAGATTGGGGCTACGTGGAAATAGCCCAATTGTTGAAACAACTTTAAACATAGTTTCTACTTGATGCTTGACTTCCTTCTCTGAAGTTACTGTAATGTCCCCACAAAGCCGTGTAGGAGATTCCCCCCTCCCTGGATCCGGAGCCTATGCCGATGACACTGCAGGGGCGGCGGCAGCCACGGGGGACGGAGACGTCCTGATGCGCTTCCTACCAAGGTGTGGACTGTTCTGTTTGTGAGTTTTCCAGAAGATATTCTAATGGATAGTATCTTTTTTTTTTCTATTTTCGTGCCATATAATTCAAATTTGTGTGCACACTCTCTCAGAAGCTGTAGCCAAAAACACCTATCATTTTAATGGTTACAATCATTGAAGTTCAGTTCCCAGGGTCCTTCTGTGTAAATGAGAACACTTAGTAGCTATTTAAATAGTTTGCGTGAATCTTTATGCTTGATCACTAAACAACAGAACAGTCATAATTGAAAGTAAACGTGAGAGATGGAGCAATTGTATACAAGTCATTACTAAAACATTAACTACTAAAATATACTTTAAGACTGCTGACTAATGAAGACAGGGGTAGCTAAAGAAATACCCAAACAGAACAGTACTGGTCCTTCCGACCTGACATTAACTGGTGTATTAGTTGAAAAGACAGGCTTGGTGTCAAACTTAACTTGCTTTGAAGTTGACGCTCTTGTAAAAGTTACCGATTCCTGTTCGTTAATGTATTCTATCAAAAGTGAAAGTTTTGATATTTTAACCTTTCTAACTTGAAGTCATCTATTTGGCACTTAATATTTATGAAGTTTCACCTCTGTTCAAATTAGCTACCAAGCAGTAGAGTACATGAGGCAAGGAGAAGATCCAACCATAGCTTGCCGAAAAGTGATTTTAAGAATTCAGAAGTATTTTCCGAATTTCTTTGGAGCCGTTATATGCGCAAACGTGACTGGAAATTATGGTAAGTTATCTTTGGGGTTTGCATTTGTGTGAACTTGCATGTGCTAATAAAATCTATTTTTAAGTAGTGTAGTGCATTCCACTTTTATGTCATAAAAAAAGGCACTTTGTAGAGTAGGCACTAGTAAATGTTTCTCGATTTATACTAATCAACTTGTGAATCTTTTGAAAACTACCCCTGAAAAGTGTTAAAAATACACCTAACACCCTCCTTTGGTTACCTGCTGGTATCCGTGATGCGTTCTTTGGTACTAGAACTTTTATTTCACGTGTTTTCTAAGTATAGCTTCAGTTCTGGTTCATATTGAAATAAACTAGGCTCTTTAAATACATTCATTAACTAGAAGAAGATAGTGATGCATTTTCTTTACTTTCATTAATGATTTGAATGTTTCATCCATACTTCTTTTGGAACTTTAGAATTTGTTTTATGTTTTTCTTAGTCAAAACTAGAAAGTTTTAAAAACTAAAGTTAGCAAATTTTTGTTCTCAGCTTTAGGCCTGTCCTTTCCATCACTTACTTTCTGTGTGACCATATCAGCGTTTCAAAGCATTTCAAGATCAACCACTGCTGGTTCTCATTAGTGAGTTTTCAGATGCAGAAGATACACAGCTTACTGATCAATATGACTTATTAGGTTAGACTGCTTATTATTGTTCTTTGATCTTTCACTTCCCACAGTTCTGTATTTGAAAAACTTGTTTGAGGAATCCCTTATCATTTTCTAAGAACTGAGATACAAAAGTCAATAGAGTTATGGGGTGAGGGAAGTTTTATGTATAAAATAAGTTGGTTTCATTGATTCTCTCTTAAGAAATAAAACATAGAAGGCACGAAGTTAGATTTAGCAGGGTGTAAAAATATTAATTTTCTGATTATAGCTAACAAATTCCTTATATTTAAAATAATGATAGTAAGAGACGGCCTTCTGGTGGGTGAGCAGAGGAAGAAACCCAGTTGCATAAGAGGGGCAAGAGGAAAACTGCTACATTGAAATGAACTTGTTAGAGCAAAGAAATAGCTGTTCTGTCATTCTGTTAGAAAGGGAAAGAGTAAGGAACATGGGGGTGGAAAAGGGTCTTTGCAGGATGGGAATGGAATGGTATCTAAAGAAATTGAATTTTTAGCATGGGCCTAAAAAATATTTTTAATGAAATTACAAAATAAAATTTTAAAAGCAAAATACCAGTTAAGTTCCTGAGCCCTCAGAGATGGCTACTTATGACCATTATCTTTCATCTCATGGACTATTACGTCGTCGTGACTAGGGAGGGCAACACCAGTGTGCGTGTGCTTGGTTTAGGGAGAGTCAGGCATACCGTAGCCAGCATCAGGCAATTAAACAATACCTACTTCAGTACATCCAAAGGGAGCCCTTGTAGAGCAATGGTTAAGCAATTGTCTCAACTCAAAGAATTTCTATGAGGCAGAATTGACTCGTTTGCAAAATGTGTGTGTGTGTGTGTGTGTGTGTGTGTGTGTGTGTGTGTATTTAACCAAAAGAACTTTCTCTTTTCTTGGCCCCAGGTGCTGCTTGCAATAAACTTCCAACATTTACCCAGTTTAGTTTCATGGTTTATAATTCTCTAAAAAATCAGCCAACTGAGGAAAAAGTAGACTGCATCTAATCCATCTTTTCTGTCACCATGCCTATGTAAAGAAGAAGGAAACCAATGTATTCCACATGTATTCCAAATTCCCGGTGTAACGTAAGCACACAAATAAATTTACACTAAAGTGGCAAGGTCACCTTCTGTAGCTGTAACTTGTTTGTTTTGTTTTTACTTAAGCTATCACATGACCTCTAAAAATTATTGTGTGTATATATTTTGTAGTTATTAAACTTCATGTAATACTTAGATTTCTGGTTGTTGTTTCAAGAAATTGTTGCTTTGTTGGTGTATCTCTACAGTGATATTTAGGCCAAAGGAGCTACCGTATATACTCGAGTATAAGCCGAGTTTTTCTGCACTTTTTTTTCATGCAGTTTTTTGTAGTAAAATTAGGTGCTTTGGCAGATATTCAGGTCAGTTTATACTTGAGAATATATACAGTATATCTATATTTCCAAAGTAGATCATCTAAGTTTTATAAAGCCAAAGAAAACAGACAGTGAGCACAGTATGATAAGGGTTGATTGAATTTGATGTATTATAAGTGATACATATCATTGATTATTAGTTTCATATAATAGTTTCAGAGAGAAGAAATTGTTAATATGTATCCTTCGAGATTTTTACAGTGTTGGTCCTCATTATTTTTTCAGGTTCTGGTCTTGCTTACTCACTAAAATTTATGTGTTACCCAGCAATTATTATTTGGGGCACTTTCACATCCATTGTTGCACTTGCACCTACATAGAATGGCAAAAATAAAAAACACGAATCACCTGACAAACAGGTTCCCTGCTGATGCAGAACCAGGGGGCGCTGTGCTTCTGTGGTGCTCTCTTGTTGAAAACAAGAGCCCTTGGCACTGTCTGTTTAGTTTAACATTGTCTTGTTTTTGTTCATTTTAACAAATGATTCTGCTTTTAAAAACAGTCTCAAAGTGCAGTGCCTAACTGTCTGGCATTCTCCGTGAACGAATACTGTGATGTATCTTATGGAGAAAATAATGCGTGTTCAATAAGCTTTATTTAAGTGTGAGTTACAGTGCTAATGGCTGTAAGTTCAATGTTAATCAATACATCTAGAAAATTCATGAGGAAATTCTCAAATCTGTTCATGAGCCATGCCACAGAGTGCTGAAGTCCCACCTAGAATACAGGATGAACCTTTAAAAAAGATGAAAAGGTGGCCACATTTACAAATTCATGAGATGACAACCGATACCGTGAATTTGACGGTATTGTCATGAGGCTGAAATCCTAACCAAAAAAAGGCCAGTAAAATGTTAAACATTTTCTCAGCTAATGCTGCCTGGCTTGCACATTTCAAATGGTGATACCATGTGAAAAATGTTAAATTTGAAGGTGAGGCCACTTCTGTAGATTAAAGACAGCAGAAGAATTTTTAAAATATTTGCTTATATTTTAAAAATATAAAATATTTTCTTATAACACTGTGGGAATTATAACATCGTGGGAGAGCAGATATAAGGAGGTTGGCAAATGAGCGTATATAGTATAAATGGCTTCCCGAATCCCTCACTTTAAATCATTGAGTGACTGCAGTGTTCTTACAGTGCACAAACGCTAAGAGCAGCTTTAAATGCAAACCTTTAATGATGTACACAGTGTAAATACAACCTAAATGGGAAAATCTGAACAGTCTCAGCCTATTGGAGTTAGAACAAAAAAAACAATGGATTGTGTTTGAAGTAGTTTGTTATTGGCTCTACAATAACAAAACCAACAACATTGGTTTCATCCTAGAAATAGAGGACTATCTCCTGAGGAAAAAGCTTGTCTTCATCGTTTTAGGATTTGGGGATAATGTGCAGAACTCGAAAATGCACGGTCTCATGTAGAAAGTCTTTTCATATAGGCGAACATTATGTCTCTCCTCCAGCCCCTCAGTCAGGTCATAGTCCAAGCTGTCCACCTTCTGAGGAAGCTTTATGCCAGGGATCATGACAACAAGGAGGAGGCCACCTCAATGGACCAGAAGTCAGTCGCTGTGCACAGCAGATTGGCCGTGTGGGCCCAGCCTGGGACAGCAGCACATGGGCTGTTGTCAGTAGCTTAGAAAATATCTGGACAGCATGAAAACCTTCTGAGGCGTGAAGATGTTATCAAAAAGATAATGAAGGGTGGCAAAACTCAATGTATTACACATGTCAAAGAAGTGACGTCTGATGACATGGAGAAAGAAGATATGGGGATTTGGGTAGAGATCCCAGAACCCACCATAAAGACTGGGAAAAGATTGTAAAACAAGACATCACTCTGAGTGATGTCAAGGATGGCTATTAAAGTTGGGTTAAGGCTCAAAGAGTACCTCCGCAGAGCAGCTACAGCATCAGAAAGGGAATCTGCCTTGGAGGTGCCTAACTTCTATTGAAAGATGCTTAGAGAGCTGAGGTTAAATATTAAACAGATAAATATTAAACAGATAAAGCTCACACAAAGTGTAAACTAGTTTGGGGTTGGAGCGAGCTTTCCAAAACAATATATTAACACACTGCAATCGCCAAACTCTTGAGGTAGAATTCACGGTTGTCAACTTGCCACAGTCATTGAAGTCTGCCTTTTCTGCAGAATAAATTCCACCAGCCTCTCCTTTGATTTTCATGGGGCAACTCAGAGTCCATTAAGCACACACAAGTCCCCATCACACATCAAAAGCACAATTTTCATTAAGAGTTGTTGGAGTGATATTTACTATCGCTGTGTCGATGGTGTATGAATACCTGAAGTTCCAGGATCTCAACACATTCTATCATTAAAAATCAAACTCATTGCCATCAAGTAGATGCTAACTCATAGCAACCCTATAGGACAGAGTAGAACTGCCCTGTGAGGGTTTTTGTTTGTTTGTTTGTTTTTAATGCTATGAGTTTTTAAGACTATATGAGTAGAAAGCCCTGTCTTTCCCTTGCAGATCAGCTGGTAGTTACAAACTGCTGACCTTGGGGTTAGTAGACCAACTACCATGCCACCGGAGCGCCTATTCTAGACTTCATTGGTGTTAAATTTTGTAAGGAAGACACTACTCAAAGGCATTGGGTAGAATAGCATTCACTCACAGGAAGGCAGAATAAAAGTGAGATCAGCTTTAATAGTGAGCATTGGTCCCCCATAGCCAGCGAGTCACATTCGGCAGCCAACCCCAGACGGTGGTTTACACACACAATCCTCGTGCTGCAGGCAAGGGCCCCTGTCCGTCCCGTCAAGGAGCAGGTATAGCTGTGCGTTGGTCAGTCTCATACGGGACACCCTCATAAGCAGAACATTGCAGTACACATGAAGCATAAAACAGAAACATCACCGAGCAAGATACCTTCATAGAAAGTGAAGTTCCACGACATAGATTTTGCATGGCTGGCCCACAGGAGGGGCGAGCCCTGTGAGGGCTGCTTGTCCAATAGCATGTCTGTGAAACTTTAAATGTTTGGCCTTTCTTTTTTCAGAATTGACTGTATTGTTATTACTAAACAGTATGGAAACTATAACCTGAGCCTCACAGAAACCTTTTTCTTTTCCTAGACGCAATGATTCCATATTCACTAGTTTGGTGTTTCAGTGGTATCATAGAACACACCATTGATGTGCACTACTGGGACAGCTCCACTCAAAACTCCTTAGACGGGGGAGTGGACGGCCCAGGGAGGTTTCTAGGCTGTCGTCTGTACAGGAGCAGACTGCCAAGTGTTTTCTCCCATGGACAGGCTTCAGCTGCCAACAATCGGTTAGCAATTGATTAGCAAGCAATCAGAGATGGAGGTCCATAGATGTTAGCCCACAGGAGCTCTCCAAGGAACCAGGAGCCAGAATTTGAGGAGAGAAAGATATTCCCTGAGAACCAACGAACAAAGAAAACCTTCGCTATAGTGCTTCCCCTGAATTTGGACTTGTAGCCCCCTAAGTAGTGAAAACTCAAGTACTCTTTATTATTGATCATTTCTTTTGGATGTACTGTGGAAACTTTAACTATATTGTGATTTAAAAAGAAGAAAGAGAGCTGGAGATCACATGATAAAAAGAGAAAAACAAAGTGTGTCCTTAATTCATGAATTTTTATCCAAATTTCTTCAGCTGCTTAAAAAAGCTCTTTGTGACTCTAATTGTCCAGATACTAGTAAGTAGATGAGTACTAGCCATTTCAAATTTTTCCTTTGGTTCTTACATTTTCAAAAATACCATAACTTGTTCAATGATTTTAAGAACCTCTTAATGTTTTTGGCAAGACTTTGTATCTTTTATTTAT